AGCACCCTGAGAAACAGCTATGCAGGGCATAAGGATGCCCACTGCACCAGACCCAGCCCCAGCCCCAGCCAGAGGGGGATGCCCCTCGTGCTCTGTGAAAGGTGGGGGGGGGGGGGGGGCTTCAGCAAGACCCTCAGTCCCCAGTGGCCTGTTAGTGATGCTCCGATAATATTGGCTTCCCAGACATTGATCTAAGCACTTTACCTGCATTTACTCATTTAATCTTCCCAACAGCTCTACAAGGTAGCTTCTAGATTCTCTTCCTATTTCATGAACGAGGAAACTGAGCCACAAAGAGATTAAACCACCTGCCCAAGGTTACGCAGCTCACAAGAGGGAGATGCAGGATGTGGAGCTAAGAGGTGTGCCTCCAGCATACAGGTTCTGCCAGCTTTACCTAAACGAGGATGAAACCACCTGCCTCTGTGGACTGAGCAGTAGCCTTTTTAAAAAATAATGTGAATTAGGGGCTGGAGTTGTGGCACAGTAGGTTAAGCATCCGCCTGTGGTGCCAGTATCCCTTATGGGCACCAGTTCAGGTCCCAGCTACTCTACTTCCAATCCAGCTCCCTGCTGGTGGCCTGGGAAAGTAGTGGAAGATGGCCTGAGTCCCTGAACCCACATGGGAGACCCAGAAGAAGCTCTTGGCTCCTGGCTTTGGGTAGGCACAACTCCGGCCATTGAGGCCATTTAGGGAGTGAACCAGTGGATGGAAGACTGACCTCTTTCTCTGTGTGTGTGTGTGTGTGTGTGTGCGTGTGTGTGTGTCTTCCCCTCTCTGTCTGTAACTCTGCCTCTCTGAATAAATTTTTTTAAAAAAAAAGTAATGTCAATTCTTTGGAGAAGATAAGGATTAAATTCCTAAGCCCTCTGTATAGTCAAGTTCACCAAACTTATCTACATCTTTCTATTGCCCATTTAGACCCTCAACCTCCACTCTCTCACCTTAATAATTTTTTTTTACAGAACTGTGCATCAACCTCACTTGTGAGGAAGGAGAGGAGGCTGGAAGGTGAGCCCACAGCCCCCATTTTACAGAAGAGAAAGCTGAGGCCTAGAAAGTGATGACTCAAGACCTTCTACCTGCCAGCTTCTCCACACCTCCAGCCTCTCCTCCCTGCCACACTGCCTAGGATGCCCCTGGCTGTGACCTGGGGTCCCTTTCACCCCCTCCACCTCTCACACTGCCTTCCATTGTCTGTGAATCCTCAGCTAAAAGGAAGCAATGCCCCAGGTAGGCATGGAAGACTGGAGCAGGAGCTGACCAGAAAGAGACACAGAGACCCACAGAAGCATCCTGTGCCAGAGTCCAGGACCAGGGGAGTCCCCACAAGACTGAAGTCCTTCAGATTCAGCCAACAAGGAAAAGAGCTCAGAAGCCACTCTTCTATCAGTCCTGGCACTAGCTTGTGTCTCTGCAGACAGCTTGGCCCCTCTGAGGGAAGCCCTTGATTTTCCCAAACACACAGCATCCTCTTTCCTACTCCCTTCCTCCCTCCAACTGCTGTGCACCACTGGCCAGTCCTGCCTTGGGTTTGGGACAGCACAAGGAGGTCCTTCCTGCAATTCTGGGCAGCAGGAAGCAGTATTGAGAGGCTCTAGGGAAGGTTTTTCTCTTCCTTTCTCACTCCAAGTATTGTTCTTGAAATCATTAAGCCTCCCCCATTTATTAAAGGACAGAAAAGCCCTGGGCATGTAGAGAAGCCTGCAGAGGCTGCCTACTTACCAGCCCCTTGCCTGCTCACCCTGGGGCCACCTCCTTCTCACCACCCCTAGAAAGCCCACTGTTTGCTCCAGGCCTGGCATCTGCAACCAGTACCACTACCTGAAAGGTACCTCGCTTCCTGAGCTGCATCGCCCCTGCCTGCAGGACCAGATCCCGGCTCTGTCCTCCTAAATCTTCCCTGGGTACACTGTGCACATGAGCCCCACATTCTCTGGGAATCCCAGGCCCACACAGCCTACTCCTTTCACTCTGTCCCTGAGTGGGACTGCGGCTTTGGGTGAGTCACGCAGCTCTCTGAGTCAGTCTCCTGGCCCAAACGACACAAGAATGAGTGTTCTATAGAGAGCATAGGGGACTCCTGCTTCCAGCCCTTCCTCTCCACCCTTAGCCTCACTCTGTGGAGGTCTAGGCCCTCTGTGAGGGGAGACCTGTGTAGATTGCATCTCTGATTTCACCTCAGAGAGCCGTCTGCTTTTTCCCTCCTTGTCCTAAGTACAGGCCGCGGCCAGCTCTCAGAATTCCCCTATCCGCTGCATCCTGCCTTCCCAAGCGCCCCTCTTTCCTCAAGGCTACTAACCGCCTTGCAGATCATCACAGGCAACTTGGATTGTTTTCTATTTTCTCATATGAGGAGCTCCTCAGGCCTGGAAGACATTTAACCATCTGTTGCCGTTTGCTGTTCTGGGGCTTTTCACTTGGTGTATCTTTGGTCTCTCTAACTAGACAGTGAGTTCTTCACAGGCCTGTCCCTTGTCGCTGCTTCCAGCAGGGGATCAGAAGGGCTGGATGAACAGCAAGAATGACTGAGTGGTGAGGCGTGTGTCCTGAACTGCCTGTTCTCGCCACCACCAGAGCAGAGTGTGCCCCATGCCACGCCTTTCCCTAGGCCTCAGATCAACAAATGCAGCATTCAGATGAGCCACAGATATCTGCCATCTGGAACCTGAGCACCTACTATGTGCCCATCACTATCAAGAGGGCTTGTAGAGAAGGAAAGACCAGAGGACTGGGTTCCTGCCCTCCACGAGCTCACCATCTGGGTAGACAGACAGAGTCCAAGGCAAGAGAGTCAGAGTAGGTTTGAGAGTGGATAGACAGAGTCAGAGGTCCCTGGGCGCCAGAGGAAAAGGAGAGATGGATGTCTCCGCCAGAGGGAAGCTGAGCAAGCGGGAAGACGGTCTTCCCTCCCACCCTTCTTGAGGAACCAAGGGAGGGGCACTGGGAAAGGAGGAAGCAGGAGGCAAGGGCAAGGCCTATTAACTTGCCCTCCTGAACTGAGAACATTCCCCTACACACACACACACACACACATACAGCTTGCTGACATCCTCAAAGATACATCAGGGGCTGGCACTGTGGCGTAGCAGGTAACGGTGCCACCTATAGTGCCAGCATCCCATATGGGCACTGGTTCAAGTCCTGGTTGCTCCACTTCTGATCTAGCTCTCTGCTATGGACTGGGAAAGCAGTAGAAGATGGCCCAAGTCCTTGGGCCCCTGTACCCGCATGGGAGACCCAGAGAAAGCTCCTGGCTCCTGCCTTCAGATTGGCACAGCTCCAGCCATTGTGGCCAGATAGGGAATGAACCAGCAGATAGAAGACCTTTTTCTCTCTCTGCCTCTCCTTCTCTCCGTGTAACTTGGACTTTCAAATAAATAAATAAATCTTAAAAACAAAAGAGAGAGATACATCAGTAACCAAAGGTAAGCCCCAAACCCAGGGAGACTATGAGAAACAATTGTTCTCAGATCCACTTCATTTGCCAACATTCTTCCTCTCTCTCAGTGGATGGAATAATTGTGGCCATGAAGTGGCACTTGAAGAAAAAGTTTTAAATCTGCTTAAATGTCACAGTGAATAATACTTTGCCCCCATCTCTCTCTAATTACATTTCTTTTTGATGACCTAAGGTTAAAAAAAAATTAACTCAAGTCTTCCTAGCATATCAAGGGCAAAGACATCAAAGAGCCAACCTACTCAGGTTCCATACTGTTTTCTCAGGGGTCCTGCTCCTTTCATGCCTTGGTCTGAGACACCTGTCTGAGTTATTTGATGCCCCACACTCTGCTGTGGCAGAAGGGAGGGGCCCTAAGAGGCCCAGCTTTGTACCTTTAAGAGATCAAAGTCCTGCACAAAATGACTTCTCCTGCTGTTTGCCTGGGGTAGCTCAGCTATGATGCAACTGGTGTCCAGGCTGCAACAGACCCGACAAGCTGTAGACAGGTGGGACATTTCACCCTACACCTGCCAGAGCTGAAGGCAGGGCTTTGCTACCTGCTAAGGGGAGACATCCCAGACTTTGAATCATCAAGTGGGAGACAGGGAGTGAGGAAGCTTCACCCAAGAAAGAAGGCACTCTCCACAGCTTTGAGTCCACAGGTGGAGAGACACAGCTAGGGGACCTTAGGGCAGGGAGCAGAGGCCCAGCCTTCATGGCACCTGACAATACACAGCACCAAGGGGTTGCCACAGACGTCCAAAATAACCAGGGACCCCCTTTCATGAACAACCCCTCTACCCCACTCACTCCTGCTCACACACTGCTTTTATTCACATAGTGACTATTACTCTTAATAATAATATCATTAAACACCTGCAAGCACTCTACTTGGAGTCTGGGATGGCTGGGCAGGGGCAGGAGGAAGAGGTCATGAATCTCAGTGGTCCTCCCCTGAGGGGCTCCCACCTTCTCCAGCTGCCTTCGGATGGCTCCCTTCACATTCCATTGTCACAGCTTTGCTTGGAGGGGCTGGGGGACAGGGAGAGAGAGACGGAACTCAATGAGGAATTACTCTCCTAAACTCCCCTATCTCAGGATGGCAGGAAATATACTCCCACTCAGCTGTGAGATCCTGGGAGCCCAGCACAGCCGCAAGACCATGTTGGAGGAGCTATTTTGGACAGTTATTGGCCACTGCTGATGACCTGGGAGAGAAGGAGAAGAGGAGGTCTCAGCCAGACAGGTGCAACAGCCGGATGGCAGACACAACAGGGTGTGTGACTCTCCATGCTACATCCACGCAAACACACATCCTGACAATACAAACACAACTCCAAGCCACAGGCACACAAGCCCCCCTTGTGCTCAGCAGGGACCTGCCCAGCTTCTCGCTGGCACTTCCCAAGCACACCAAGCACACAGCCATGGTGCAGAGACGCCACTGGCGAGTTTCCCTTCCATTCCATCAACGTGGGTGCTTCTCAGACCCACTGAGTGATACTGGAATGGGCCCTGTAAGGCCGGGAAACCGAGTTAGGTAACAACTATACTCACACAGGACTCCATCCAGCAAAGGCCCGAGAATCTAAACAGAAAAGGTGAAGTTCAACAGTTCTCAGTACTTGCTGCTTGCTTTGGGCCCCGATCCTCAGGGAAAGGCGTCCCGAGCGGGCTCGGGCTTGGGGCGAGGAAACTCCCGGCCTCTGGCCTCCTTCGGCGCTGGAGAGCTCCGCGCTGTGGCTGCACCATCCGGGCTCGGCCTGGGGCTTCAGGCAGCCGGGGTCTCATTTCTTTAAATACAATTTTAAACAGATCGTCTAAGAACGTAATGCAATCCGAGGACAAGGAAAAAGAAGCCCCGAACACCCGAAAGCGGCCAGCCCAGCCGGCGGGAGAGAGGCCGGCACCTTCCTTGGCTGCCCAGGCTCCCAGCTCCAGAACCCGCGGGGGAGCGGGCGTGTTATTTCAATTTACCCGGCTCCTGAAGCCCAGAAGAGGCTGTCCTGGGAAAACAAATGTGGAAGGGGATGGGGTGCAGATAAATGCCATCAAAACAAAAATCTGCCGCCCAGCCAAGTTCGCCAGCAGAATTCGCCCCCAGAGGCGGGGCGGCTGCAACCGGCCCCCGCGCCCGCCACTTCTTCGGCCGCCACGCAGTTGAGGTTGCAGCCCCTGGGCTGGCCCGGCAGGGAGTCCGGCGGGGTCCGGCCTGGGGTCTGGATCCCGGCTCCCGCCCGCAGACGCGACTCCCTGCCTCGCACCTCTGGAGCGGGAGGTGTAGCAAACGCAACCCAAAGGGACAGCGCACACCGCGCGAGTCTGGGAACCACCGCAGCCCGGTTAGCGAGTCCGGGGCTTTATTTCTTTGATGGTGGATTAAGGGGGGAGAAAAATCTATCTGAACCGGCAAAGCGGTCGAGGGCAAAATCGAGCCCGTGCCCAGCGCTGGCTCGCCGGCCACCGCGCCGCGCCCTCCTCCCTCCCCGGCGGGCGAGCGGGCCAGAGAGCCCGGCTCCTACCTTCCTCCCGCCAGCCGCGGGCCGGGCCAGCCGCCGCTCCCCGGGGCGGGAGAGGCCGTCCGGGACGGAAACACCCACCTCCCGCCTTCAGAGGCTGGTGGAGCGGGGCTCGGACCCCGGATCTCCACTCCCCCGCGCGCCTGGACCGGGTGGCGGTGGCCGCCGGGCGGGAGGAAGGTTTGCAGCCGCTCTGGCAGGTTGGGGACGCGGGGAGGGAAGAGGCAGAGGGAGAGAAACGGGGAACGGACGCGCGCACGAGAGAGCTCTTGTCTGCAGATTTATCCACATAATATATATTTATGTAGCTTTTTTTTCTCTCGACACTGATCAATGCGCACTCGGATCGCTGGGCGGACTCCCTCCAAGCCGGCTCGCTTTTTCTAGTCTAAATAAATAAATAAATAAATGGAGCCAGATGGGAGAGAAAAGCGCCCATTCCACCTCCGCCGCCGCCACCTCCGCCGCCGCCCCGCCCGCCATCCCTGCCTGGGCTTCGCCCGCCTGGCGCCCGGATAGAGCGCAGCTCCGTGGATAACGCCCCCCGACCTACCCACACGAACGTGAACGTCAATGTTTTTTAAAAATACAAAAAGTTGCACCTGCTGCTATTACAAAAAGAACCCCCAAAAGGCAGAGCGAGGAGGCCGGCAGCCCGGCTCCTAGCAAGCACCCGCTCCCCGCGGCCGCCGGGCCCGGACTCCCTGCGCCTCCCGAAGAGCCATGCGCCCCGCGCTATTTATAGCCGGGGCCGGCGCGGACCGTACCACCGCCGCTCAGGGCCTTCGGGTCGAAAGGCGCGGGCCGGCGCCGCCCCACGCCGCCCGCCCCCGGCCGCCGCCCGCCGCCGCCCGCGCGCCCCCCGCCCGGCGCGCCTGCTCGCGGCCCCGCGCCCCCTCCTCCGCGCGAGCGCGCGCGCGCGCCGCCCCCACCCCTGGTCTGGCCGAGAACTTGAACCGGTCCAGGCTATTTAAACGGAAAGGACAGAGATCCTGTCTGTTCAATGTTAAAAAAAAAAAAAAAAAAAAAAATCAGATCAGCCCGAGAGAGGAGAGAGGGAGAGGGAGAGGGAGAGGGAGAGGGAGGGAGGGAGGGCGAGCGGGAGGGAGGGCGAGGGGGGAGCGGAGCGCGAGCGCGGGCGAGCGAGCGAGCCAAGAGGAGAAAGAGCGAGCGGAGAGCGAGGTGTGGAGCGAGCGAGGAGAGCCCGAGTGTGTGCGTGTGCGTGTGAGCGCGAGCGAGCGGGCAGGAGAGGGGCGAGAGTGCGAGCGGGGAAGAATAAAAGGAAAGAAGATTTTCTCTATGTATATAAAGATGGCCACGTTAGCAAACGGACAGGCTGACAACGCGAGCCTCAGTACCAACGGGCTCGGCGGCAGCCCGGGCAGCGCCGGGCACATGAACGGATTAAGCCACAGCCCGGGGAACCCGTCGACCATTCCCATGAAGGACCACGATGCCATCAAGCTGTTCATTGGGCAGATCCCCCGAAACCTGGATGAGAAGGACCTCAAGCCCCTCTTCGAGGAGTTCGGCAAAATCTACGAGCTCACGGTTCTGAAGGACAGGTTCACAGGCATGCACAAAGGTGAGTGCACCTTTCCCTCCCAACTTTGCCGAGAGAAGGAGCGGGCGGGCGGGCCGGCCGGCCGGCCGGCGGGCGACGGACGAGCGGGAGACAGAGCTGGAGGGAGCCTCGGGCGGGCGCCGAGATGGGAGGCGCTCGCCAGGGCAGCGGACACCCGAGCTGGGGTGCGTGGGGAGCTGTTCGCTGGGGCAAGGCTGGGTTTGGGTCGAGGAGCGGATAAGAGCGGTGCCACGGGGAGAGAGGCGGGCGCCGAAGATGAAGAGAAAGAGAAAGGGGATCGAGGGGAGGAATGAGGCTCGGGCTTTTGGGTGTAGCGACTTGAAAGATTGGGATGGGGACGGCTGCGCCGGCCGAGCCCAGGGCGCTGAGCGAACTGGCGGGCGCTGGCGGGCTGGGGACCCAGGGTGCTGTCCATCGCTGTGGTGCTGAAAATACTGGCGGAGGACGGTCTCCCTGTCCTCCACTCCGGGCCAGAGTAGTGGGAGCGCAGCAGCCGTCTAAAAGGGGGAAAGGTGACACATTCAAAGAGATATTTTTATTTCGCTATCAATTTAGCAGTAAACTCTCCCTGTCGAGCTGTGCGCCTAATCTGGTTGTGGTGTGAGTGGTGGTGTGGGGGAGGCAGAGTGGGGGGGGGGGGATTGGATGTTGGAAGGAAAGGAGTGATAAAACCTAAGGCAAGAATTATCAGGGAACCAGCCATCCCCTGGGTGGAGTGGTGGTGGGGGTCTGAGGAGCCTGGAAGATCCCCCTTCCCTGGAAAACAGGGCTTTGGGAAAAATATGTGTGTGCAAGATATGCATTTTGAAGGGTGTACCCTAATTTATCCCAAACTCACCATGCAGCAAGCTTTATAGTACATTATCCGTCCCTTGAAGCAATCATTGCTATTGAGTGCTTGGGGGAGGGGGAGATAAAATAATCAAAGAATTATAACCCAGCAACTTTTTAGGAAAGTGGTCATGGGAATCATCTGCAGCCTGACTGTTTTCTCCTTGTTTTATTATCTTTAAGGCAGAGCCCCAAACGTGTTCAGTTGTAGAATGTGTGTGGGTGGCTGGTGGGTGACGAAATTAGCCCAGTGCTCCGCTCCCTAACAGTAATGTATAGGATGTGCAGCGGGGATTAATCGGTGCTGGAGCTGTGTGGGCAAGTTAAATGCTTTCTGAGAGAGATTGATCGCCAGGCAGGGAAGGAGCACGGGGCTAAGGAAGTTGTAGGGGATGTGTATGGATGTGCCGTTTTTAATAAACAGTAGTGTGGAGAGCTGTGCTAGAGCTGGTGGTTTCAGAGATGAAAACACACACATACACACCCCCACAGAGACAGCAAGCCTCATCCTTGGCCACAAATGGGCTATGAACGGAGCTGATCCTCCAGCACTTTAGGTGCAGAGCGCGGAGCCGCCTGGCTCTCCAAGCAGCAGCGGTTTTCACTATCACAACCACCCTCCTTCTCCAGCCCTCCCTTCATGCGAATACTAAACAGAGCTCCAAACTCTTCATAGTTGGAGTCCCAGAGAGCAGTTTTTATTGGCTTTAGCATCTTACAGCTTGCCTGCTGAGGAGTAAATCTTAAAGTTAATGGCATGTTGAGTAGCACAGAAACACAGCAGAATGGAAATATACTGGATTTGTTGGGGTGGGGTGAGGGTGGGGGCTGTAATGGAGAGAGAAGCCAACCTTTATCCAATATGGAGAAAATGTCTGTCTGATCAGAAGAGAAATTGGAAAGGTGGAATGGGGAAGCAGGCTTTGAAATGGTGTTCAAAGAAAAGGAAGCAGACACTTTCTTTCTCCCCCTCCCTCTCAAGTCAACCATATCTTTGTAGTTTTTCCCTAGAAGCAAGCTAATCAAGGCTTAGTGTCAAACCTTTGTCATCCTAATATGTCCCCAGATTTTAAAATAGTAATAATAAAAAATTTAATAGCAGAAGTAAGGAAGCCTTTTGCCCATCTTAATGATCAGTTCTTGTGGTGATTTAAGATTTGAAAGTTTAAAAAAATCAGAACCTACTAGAAGCAAAAGACAGTTGTGAGGAGCTGGGCTTCCTATGGGATCTGGGTTGGAGTACTTTGTTTGCTGCTTTATTTCAAATGAAGATGAACTTTAAGACTATTCTGTGATTTCTTCTCAGCAATCCTTTACTGATTCCACTTTGTTTCTGATATAATTTGGACTCTCTTGTATCATAGCAAAGAAGTAGAATTTTCATCATTCGCATCAAGGGGGTAGAGAAGACACACACACACACACTCACACATGCCAGAATTCCTAGGATAAGAAAAACTTCATTTTCCAAATAATTGTTCCCCAAAACTGTCTCAGTCAGTGGCAGACTGGCCCGTTTACTCTGGTGTACTGGGTGCCTCGTCGCAGCTCACCATTCAGAACCTGAACATAGATTTCTCCCTATGAAACTTCCTGTCCCTCCATCCGTCTGATTTTTATAGTCAAGGTTGGGTCATGGTGTCCCTAACAGTGCCTGGAAGCTCCAGAAGAGCTGAATAAATGAGACAGTTTCCAAGGTCTGGTTGATTCAGTCCTAGAAGAGTTTGAACTCCCCCTTCAGTGATGCAGTCTGATTTATTAGCTAATCCTGATAAAAAAAAAAAAAATAAGCCTCCGGCCACCTTAAAAAATTACTTGCTTGCCATTGGTGATTAATTACTGTTAAGTAAAAAAGCATGATGAGGCTTGAGAAATGAAGATTGCATTTGACTTCTAGATTTTCCCCATCTCTAAACTGACAACATGAGGCTAGAGATAGAATCATGCCTTTGTTAAGTCTGGTTTCAGGGTATATTCATGGCTCTTACTCTCTTCTTGAATTTTTAACTTCTAATGAATCATGCTGGGATAAAATTGAGATGTGACATAACAGGATACTGGCCTCCAGGATGGATGGCATATGTATGTTACAATCTAAGAAAATTCAAAGGAAAAAGAAGTAAAAATTAAATGAGATGCATGAGGTTTCAGGTGGGTGTCCATTTGTTGGTCACCTGCCATTGCAGGTAACTAAATAAAGAAGGAGTTCTAAGGGTTAATGGAATACCTGCCATGCGTAGAGTGCACCTTAAAAGGCAATTACTCCAGTCAAATTGGGAGTCTGTGGAGGAGGGAGTGGGTGGGTGTTGTGTAGCAAACCCAGCCGTATCAGCGAAAGGCGGTTGGACTGAGGAAACAGCAAATAGCAGCTGTGGACTGGGGTAATTACTGCACAGGTAAATTTACCCCCTGGAGACCAGAAGGCAATTGTAGGGAGTGGGATCTGGGTGCTAGGCAGGGAAAAAAAGGAAGGGGAAAAAAAGCCTAGAATTAAAATTCAAATAAATTATTTCTTAGGAAAGAAACCCAGTTTAATGCAAACTCTCCCGGCTAACTCCGTCTTCTTTTCTCCCCTATGAGAAGCACTTTGGGAAAGATTGTTTTTCCAGGCTCCAAAGAGAAAGGCAATGTAGTATTGATTAAAGAAGAAGGACGCAAATTCCCTTGGTAGCAGCAGAAGTGAGCTGAGCACCAATTTTGCTCCTTTTTGTAGAATTTTTCTCCCTTGGAGAAGGGAAACGGTCACCCTGTAGTCTAATTCTTCCCTTCTTCCATTTTTTATTTATTTCTCTTTTCTTCTTTTTATATTTTGAAGAACAAACAGAGGCTGTGGCTGAAGATACACATACAGACGCACACACACACACCCATGCCTGCTGACACACACGTACAGTCAGTGGATCACACATGGACGAGCCGGCGATCCATTCATAACTTTGGTCCTGCCTAGTGGGATAGGAGGCAGCAAAGACTGAGTTACTGGGAGACATAAAGACTAGTGCTCTCTGGATAGCCATATTACAATGCATTATCTTTGAAGTCATTTAAGTCCAATTTAAGTGGTATTTAGTATAATATTTATGAATTAATGTAATCTAAACATAGGACTGTCCCCAAAGGTTTAAACAGCCTTTACTACTGATGTGTGCTTTCTCCTGGAGCCCGTAATGCATTTTAATCTAAACAGCCAGGTCCACATCACAGCTCCTCCTGTTACCCAGTCAGAACCGATGTGTGCCTGGGTAACCACTCTGCTCTGAGATATTCCTTATCGCATGGAGGAAAAACTACTCCACTGGCAGTTTCAGGGGCTCTTGACCCAGGAGCCTCAGCTTCAGGTGTGCAGCCCCCTCGAACTTCACATTACATCCAGAAGGAGGGTGGGGACAGAGTAATGGCAGCATCTGTGAATGTAGCTCTGAGGAGTGTGTCACTTAAAAACACACTCACCGCCAGATACACAGCCTCCCATTTCACTCACACCTGAGCAGGAAATGTCTGCAGCCCCTTGATGTACGGTGTAGCAGAGAGAAAGAAGAAAGACAGGGGTCTGATGATGTCTTAATGATCTGCAACCACCTTCATAAGATTTTGTTTTATATTTGTGTTTTAGATGTCACAATTCTCAGAACATCAAATTTTCATCACTTGACTTCAGCCGAGATGGCTTTTTCCCCCTGTAGATAGGTGAATTAAAACCGTGAGACTCAATCTGATTTCTGTGTTCAAATGAGTCCAAGAGACATTGAAGCTAAAGTATCACTATAGGCATCAGCTCACTTAAAATGAACTTTTTTTTAATTACTTTTTTGAAAAATGTATTTCTGTCCAGGGAAAGAGACTAGCTGAATGGCTGGTTACACACCCATAGTTTTTAAAAGAAAGAATCGCCTTGTCAGAGATAAGCAAAATGCAACAACCATAATAAGAAAAAAAAATTTAAAAATAAGTTGCATCCAAAAAAAGAGCAATAGTAATCAATACAAAAATAAAGAATGTCAAAAAAATTTTAAAATGCTTCAAATTCCAGATGTTGATAAAGGTTTCACTTAAGAGCAAAAAAAAATTAGGAAATGATTGATTTATAAGGTACTGATGATTGTTTGCTGTTTGTGCCTAATTTCACTTACCTTTTAAGCAGTTTTTCTCAGAATCAGCACGCATACACA